CACGAAATTCAAAATCGTAAAATTCGCCTTTTGAGATTGACGGACTGTAGATATGTTATTATGTCAGAAAGGAAGGGTACAGTTAGGCAAGGTGGTATATCAAATTGAGCTTGGTTAGTTATGTGTATGTTTGACAATTGACCATAATTTTAGGCCTAATCATTGGAAAGACTTTGAATGCCATGTATGCTTCTTGATTCTGATAATTTGGCTATTTTTTATGGAAAGGGAAGGAAGAGGAAGGTGGTGCAGGCGAAGGCTTTATAGGTGCTGCTGCTGATTCGGGCAGGGAATGACTCTTATTGAAACTGTGAACACTGTTGACTGCCGACATTCCCGTTCAGATCCTAGTATTCAGATTCACAATATAAAGCGCTTTATGTATTTTGAATTTACGCATTAACGTTCAGATTCGTGCCTTCACCTTACGCTACGCCATCCAGTATCCTGTATGATTTCGGGGCGGCTACCATGATGCTTGGGAAGCAGCGCCTCTTCTTGAAATATTCGGTCGAATAAAGACATGATCTGCAAAACATGCAAAGCAAAGACTAATAAATTGTTGAGGTAGCCTGCACTATGAGTAATAGCGGTTCCAGGGCAAAGGAATAACCCGAAGTACAAGCCATAATCACCGACCAAGAGACAAAACACACCGATCACAAAACCAAATCATATCAACATTCTAGAATTATCCCCGGCGACTCACTTTAGTGCTCCTTTTTCACCTGATTTTCAACCACAGTATTTCCCTCATGATCGGTATCAGTAAACCAATTACGATAATTAACCTTCGGGCCAGTCTCAGACATGATCCTGGAGGTCTCCGCAAGAACCTCATAGTTCTCCAACGAGCTCAACCGCACAAAAGGTTCATGGAGTGCAGGGAAGCCAAACTGCGCTCTGATCTCATTCAAGATCTCGTAGACCATTTTGGTATCCCCATCCAGTAGCCATCTGTCCCCCCTAACAATGGGATGCATAGCATAACAATTACCGAATGAACGCATAGCCCTGAAAAAGTGTACGTGACCCAGCCACACCTTGGCAACATAGAGACCTTTATCAGACGGCAATCTGGAGTCAGTCTCAGCACACAATTCATGCGCTCTTGCGTCCAACCACACTGCTGTGGGCAGCTTGGTGGTAGGCTTTTTACTGCAACCGACGAGAATAATGATTTCGTTGTAATCGTGGTGCACAAACTTGCAGACCTCATAAGGGCTCTTCTCTTCGAAAATCCTCCTTTCAAGAACAATATTGTACTTGAGTGGGTGGAAGCCGCTTTGGGTCTCGGACTGGGTGATGGGGTTGTGTTTTTGGGTGAGGATCTGTTTGAAGCGCTCGGCCCAGCGCACAACTTCACAATTTGGCCGATCTGGGCGATACAATTCAGACATTTTGTTGTTGTAAATTGTAAAGTATGACTGGTAGTGTATGATAGTCTCGGTAATATTGTAGTCTCAGTGGGATTGTTTATCACATGAAAAGAACTGTTGATACAGGTTGGTCGTTATAAAGAGCCTTGTCCTTTGGAGTGTGTAGTCAGTGACATGGAAAAATTCAGTAGGTGACAACCCATCGAAGCCATTATAACGGGTCAGTCCTCAAGGACTTCCTGTGCATATGTAATTTCTAGTATTTATTATTTATCATATACAGTGACTCGTGAAGAAATCAATGAATCAAGTATTTGGAATATACCATGCCTTTCACATATAAGTGCGAGAACTGCCTGTGTAACAGCAGACAATCAGTAATCACAGTCACTTACCTGGGCCTTGAGGAGGCATAGAAGTGCATAAGCAACAACACACAATTCACAAGTTACTCTGATAAGCCATCACGGAGGCAGCACCCATGTGCTTATAGGCACATGGTCTGTCCTCGAGCCGGTGTGACAACGATAAGCCTGACTATTGGATGTTTCCATGACAAATTGACAAGTGCGTGTCTAGGGTTATGGGTTTTGTATTCACTAAATATTGTCTACCATGGGTCCCACGTATGAGAGCCACGTCTACCTATGGGAATATGATCAACGGACTGCTTTTACAGGATGTCCTTGCGCTTTGCCACGGAACCTCCCGGCCATAAGTGCTGCTTCAAGGCGGTCAGGACGGGCAGTATGGGGCATCGCCAGCGTTACCGGCAATAGGCTACTTGTGCAAGCCCTACATGATCATCAACCCAATCAGCAGCTTGCAATGGACCCATACACAGTGGAGTGATCCATATCTGTCAAAATGGAAAAACCAGTTTTTACGGGCGGATGAATCATCCGGCGCCGTTCCACCTCCCCCCTTGGTTCACAGCGTTGTCCCTGTATCACCAGCACCACCCCCACTCCAACTATATCTCCATAGTATTGTCAAAGACCACTGAAACTTCCTTGTCGACCCCACCGTTAACCTCCAATACTTCCCAATATCGCCATAATGCAGCCCATTGCTCCAGCTCCACAACGCCCAGCTACCTCCAACCCTTCCTCTACCCCCAACGCCTCTGTCCCTCGGCTTCGCAAGGCATCAGCAGCATGCCGGGAATGCAAGCGATCCAAGGCGCGGGTAGCAGCAATTCTCTACAATCTCTAAATATTTTACCCCAGACGCTAAACCGTGACAGTGTCAAATCAGAGAAGGCGCCTCCCAGTGCGACCGTTGTACCGAACGTCGCCTTTCGTGTGTATTCGATCTGGAAGAAGACAAGCGGCGGAAGCTGGCTCACAAACGGAAGATTTTAAAGCTAGAGGAGGAGCGCGATGACCTGCTGCAGCTAGTCAAGGCACTTCAAAATAGCTCTGACTCCAAGGCTATTCAAGTTCTCAACCTCATGCGAAGTAAGGCTCCACTCAGCGAAGTTAAACTTTACATAGATAACGACAATTCGGAGCTTGAACGAGAGACTACGCCGACCTTAAACAAACAAATGTCATCGCATCGAGGCCCAGATATCCAGCATCCTGTAGATATACCCGTCTATCGTATTTCAGCCGCCCCGTGGACCTCGGTCACTGAAAGTGACGATTTTGTATCTCATCTAATCTCCCTATGGTTGACCTGGAGCCATCCGTTCTATAACTGGATTGATCGGGAGCTATTTCTTCGTGACGCTGTAGCAGGAAAGGCAAATTCGCAATTTTGTTCCCCATTCCTTGTGAACTGCATTTTGGCCGAGGCATGCGTAAGCTCATGAGTTATCACAGAGCGTTTCTTTGTGGTCCGCTAATTGACAAACCTAGTTTCACTCCGACTGTCCAGAGGCTTATGCCGACCCGAATAATCCAAACTCGAAAGGCGTCCATTTTTACGAAGAAGCGCAGAAGCTCTACAAGAAGATAGAGGGTCGGCTCGATATGCCATCCATTCAAGGATGCGGGGTGCTGTTCGTGTGGTGAGCTAATTCCCAACTAAATCACATGTCCCCTCATTAAACCTCACTGTCCAGTATGGCGGCCATGGGTAAGAATCGCATGGGCTGGTGGTATCTCGGTCAAGTTCGCAGCATGGCTGAGGAATACGCCAAGATGCATCTTGACTCGCCGTCCTCGACCCCTACCAGGGAAAGTCGCGCAATTGATAACACCATCTGGGGCATCTACAATCTTACAGCGTAAGTCTGCTCACATCTGGCTGCTAGCATTATTTAATCCTAAGCTATATTCCAGTACTGCATCAATCTCGCTCATGAAACATATGGCCATTGATCATCTCGAGGAAGATATCTGGACCGCGTACCCTCGGCAAATGGATCCAGTTCAGTCGCACATTCCCTGCGTGCTGAACAGGTTCACTACGCTAAGTGAGATTAACGTGGATGCGAATCGACTCGTGTTCGCAAGCGGCCTCAATTCACCACGCGATGAACTGGAAAAGGCCCTTAAAGGTATCCTGAAACGGCTAGACGTCTGGAAGAGCAACCTTCCTACATGCCTAACCCCCGACAACCCCACTGTTTCTCAATCGTTGAGTTCGCAGTAAGGACCATAACCCACCCCCGAAACCGACAACAGCATGGACTTTTATTATCGTGCTACTAACCAGAGTACTTGCATCCAGTATGCTCTATCACGCGGTGGTGATCATGCTTTGGAGCCTCCTCGAGAGGGAAGACACGAATGGTGAAAACAATTTCAAGATAACCCGCGAGGCCGCAAGGAAGGCTGCGTGGATTCCGCCTTAGCAATCATCGACTTTCTATACATTCCTCGCGCCCGGTGGGGACCAGATGACATTTCACCGACGACCATTCACTGGGTGAGTATGGCGCTCTTCACTCTGGTAGAGGACCTTGACAACAGTGACCATTGCAACGCCTTCACTGAACTTGGTGTCACTGCGTTTCCTTTTCCCGGAGAAGGACTCTTTTGAAAGAGATTTTGCGGATGTTGCGGGTGTTTGCGCTGAAAAAGGGATAGCTCTTCTGCCGGATAATCGTGCCGTCTCTGTGAACTTTCGGAAGATGGGGGATGCGAGCCTTCCAGAACAGTTTTGCAGCCTTTATCTGAATCCTACTTCGTTGTCGGAGACGAGATGGGATCATACACTTAATGAGGCGGAACTGGACGGCTTTCTTGAGAAGTGGGATAGTCTTGATCTTCAAAATGGCGTTGCGGATGTTGGTTGGTATGTATAACGCGGGTGGATTCGAATGTTGGTGCTAGTTTTTGAAGAAGTCAGGAGTGAAATGGGAGGCTCCTGCTGTATTTCGGGGAAGTTTGAATTTGAACTGCCTATTAAATCAGAGAGCATCTTGTATATCAAAATGCTTGGCAGGGGCCTTTTCCGATGGACTCTGCCGATCGGCGAACCATAACGGAATCAGCAGGGATGATCAGCCCAGGATGCCACTCAATCAAGGGCTGACATGATATCCGCCCGTCGATTTTAGTGCCCGGGCGCGCTTATATCTTCCCCCATTTCGACTTGTTATTCTCACTTCTACCAAACCAACAACCACTTTCAACCCAAATTACACAAGCATTAAATTCCCCAAACACAATGGCTACCGAGAAACCGTCAATCGTACTCATCCAAGGCTCCTTCCAGACCCCCCTTGTTTACGCCAAGTTAGCAGCGGGACTTCGCGACCTAGGATACCCCGTCATTCACCCAACCCTCCCCAGCTGCACCGACGTAGAGGCCGACGACTTCCCTACCCGCACAATGGAAGACGATGTGCGCACCATCACCGAAACCCTACAGCAGCTAATCGAAAAAGAGGAAAAGTCCGTCGTCGTTGTAATGCATTCATACGGTGGCATTGTGGGCAGTACGGCTATTCTCCAGTCCCTCGCCTATACTTCCCGTCAAGCAGAGGGCAAGAAGGGCGGTTTTTTACATCTTTTCTACTATGCTGCCTTTGTTCTACCAGAGGGCACATCCGTCATATCAACATTTGGCGAGTCGCCGAACAATTATGTGACCGTATGTTTTTCATCATCTAATCCGTCTAATATCTTAAGGACCAGCTTAATTTCTTGCTTTTAGTCGGACGGCCGCTTCCGTATCATGAACGGGGCCAAAACTCTGTACAGTGATCTCCCGGACGCCGAAGCAGCCCTGTGGGAATCGCGCCTCATTCCGCAGTCTTACTTGGTACAAACCACGCCCACCACTCGGGCGGCGTATGAGTATCTGCCATCTACCTATCTCATCTGTGAGGGTGATCAGGCTGCACCGGCTACATTTCAGGGCGGGTTTGCTAAGTTGGCCCGGGCGGAGATTGATCGCTGTAGCGCGGGTCATTCGCCGATGCTGAGTGAGCCGGAGATGTTGGTGGGGAAGATTGCGGCGGTGGTTGATAAGGCGGTTGCGGCGTCTGTTTAGTTTGACATATGATAGAGTGGTTCGGTTTGTTCGAAATATGATATAGCTATATATAGTCAGTGCTAGAGGGGCGGTTCTTGTCAAGGGAGATAAATATCTGGAATAAAACACCGATGATCGGCGGTTAATTTCCCCTCCCCCTCTTACTTGGCTGGCCGTCAGATTTTGGTGTCATTGTTAACCAGTAAACAGCGCGTCTATTTCGGAGGTAATTATGGCCAACTCGTCCCAAATTGAGAGGGATGGCTCCTTGGGTATTCTAAAAGAGCCTCGTCTCGTTTCGTCGTGACTTACATACTAGTACATCATCTGTGTGATGAAGCCTGGTCAAGTAGGACCATTATTGAGCTAGTACTACTGAAGATATATATTTTTTCAACACGTTACGACGATGGTGATTCATTTAGTAGCATCATGATGATGGAGCCTCAGCTTCGGTCAATTGGTATGCGCTATAGCTCAGGAAAGAGGTGTAAGTACACAATACTATTTTGGAAGAATAATTGTATAAAATTTGGCATAATCCATATCAGACAGGCAAAGTGTTAACTATTCGATGATGAGCTCCAAAGGAGTCAAGTTAGCGATAAGATAGTGGCGATAAGATTACTGACACGTGACTGCTTATCGAACAGTGGTCGGAGTAACCCGGCCCGACCCATCTGACTGCCTTACCAGTCAGGCTGCGACTGAGATCTTCTCCATTGTATCGCTTCACAACAACCTCATTGGAATTTGTAACAGTTAACTATAGCCCCAGCTGAAACTGGACATCTGCGACCCACTTTAAATATACAGACTGAAAAGTAAGCTACTAACATACTCTGTACGTGTCATTTTGCATGCGTCGGCCTCTGTGGAGTTCTGTTCATTGCCCTGATGCCTTTTTTTTCTGCCTCAGGCCTCAATAGAAGCATAAGAACAGTCGAGGTGAAGAACCAGCATGCGTGATCCTTCTGCACCATTGGGTGCTTGGATCTTCGCTCCTGGCCAGCCAATTCAAAGTAAGGTCTAGGTCATTTAGATACGCTACTGGCCGACAAAGCCTATCAGATCCTCTCCCGCTGGTGTTGCCATCGGCGGCAGGGCGCACGCCATATCCCCTCCCACCAGCAAGGAGCCACTCGATCTCTGTCCAGCAACTCAGTTCATCCACCGTGAAACCAATGCCGTATCAAGCGGCTCACAGCTGCATCCTTGCAGCTTCCCCGCCCTGTTCTCGGCCGGGTTATGTATAACGCCATCATAGCCAAGAACAGCGTGACACTGACGGTTATCGGCGAGCCGCTACGCATTGTGCTCATCCGGCAGATACTTAAGACATCATGCCTGGCGTCGATGTAACTTCCTCGGCAACCCGAGGCTGATGGTCGTTTTTGCCGCGTAGCGCATTGGTCACCATGGCAGCTGTCGAACTCGTTACGCAAGGGACGGCCTATGGCCTCCTTATCGGCCTTGGTGTGTTCTTCTGCGGGGTGATTCTTATCGCAATCAAGGTGCAGAAAGTGTATCTGTCTGAGGATTCTGGCACGTCGGAGATGTTCATGGTCGCAAATCGATCAGTTGGCACAGGTTTGACTGCGTCTGCTGTGTTCTCCTCGTGGATGTGGATCAACGAGACGGTGCTATCTGCGGCGATGTGCTATCGCTATGGATTGGCAGTTCCGCTAGTATGTCTGCAGTCTTTTATTTTAGTTATACCAGATGCTGATCTGTATCACTCGTACAGTGGTGGGGATCGGGCCTCTGTTTCCAGATCGCCTTGATGGCTGCTTTGGGTGTCATGGCCAAAATCCGGGTCCCGTATGCCCATACGTCGCTTGAGATTACCCGTATGCGGTATGGCTGGATCGGGCATGTTATCTACATGGTCTTGAATTTGACGAACAACGTGTTTGGCTGTGCCTCGATGATCTTAACCGGATCCCAGTTGATTAATGGTGTTTCCGGCATGAACTTCGTTGCTGCGACCATCTTGATTCCCCTAGGAGGTAAGCTCGGTCATTGAATATCACAGGGTATTATACTGACAAAGTATGGCAAAGTTGTTCTTTACACGGCTGTCGGGGGACTGAAGGCGACGTTTCTGACCGACTTTCTGCATACCGCAGTCGCCTTAATTCTGATCATTTATTTTACTCTCTCCGTCCTCACACATCCCGAGGTTGGCGGACTGGCTGGACTTTACGACAAGGTTGTCGCAACTGCGAGCGAGAATTACATCTCCGGGAACTTTGAGGGATCGCTGCTCACAATGAAATCGAAAGGCGCCATTATCTGGGGCTTGATCTTGAAATTCGGTAATCTAGCTCTGGTAGTTATGGTAGGCCCATCCATTCCTTTCCTCCAAGTATATGGCAAACATTAAGACTCACTCTGATATAGGACACTGCGTTTTGGCAAAAGTCCTTCGCCAGTGAAGTGAATTCTACCGTACCGGCATACAACTTGGCTGCCATAGCTGTCTTTGGTATCCCCTGGGGTTTAGGCACTGTTATTGGCCTGACTGCTCGAGCGCTCCACCATACTCCCATCTGGCCCACCTATCCCGTTGATATCACGACAACTGAGGTCAGCAAAGGCATGGTGATGCCGTACCTGGTCAAAGCCCTTCTTGGAGAGTCTGGAATGATCGCCTTTTTCGTGCTATTATTCATGGCATTGACCAGCACCGTCTCATCCTCAATGATCGCCGTCAGCAGTATTCTGTCGTTTGATATGTACAAGACGTACATCAACCCCCAAGCCAGTGATCGCCGGCTCCTGGGAGTTAGTCACATAACAGTCGTATTCCATGCCATCTTTATTACCGGAATTTCCATTGCTCTCAACTACGGGGGCGCCAATATGACGTGGATCGGCTACTTTCGGCCTATTCTGTCCTGTCCAGGGATCATCCCTCTCGGACTGACTCTGTTCTGGTCCCGCCAGACGCGCCTCGCCGCTATCGCTTCGCCAGTGCTTGGCTTCTTTACTGGTCTCGCCATTTGGCTCGCCACGGCCAAGTCAATGTATGGGGCCGTGAACATGACCACGACTGGAGAAGAGCTGCCCGCACTGTACGGCGCTATCGGCTCTTTCTTCTCACCCGCCCTCTATTCCGTGGTAATTTCTCTATACCGTCCGTACACGTTCGACTGGAGAGAGTTCCTCAGGATCGAACTCGCCGAAGAAGCACCGACCAGAACCTCGCCGCCTGCAGCTCAAGAGACCAAGTTTGAAGGGGTCTATATCTCGACGGATGCCAGCCCGACGTCAACCCCGAGCCGTCTCAGTTTAGACGACGTGCGCCACCCTTTTACAGAAGACACCCTTCGGAAGCTGCACCGATGGTCATGGATCGCGTGGGCCATGTTCGTGGTTTTGGTTTTGATTACTTTTGTGCTCTGGCCAATGCCGCTCTATCGCGACTATATCTTCACCAAATCATTCTTCTCGGGGTGGACTACAGTCGCAATCATCTGGCAATTCTGTGCCTTTTTCGCTGTTGTGGTCTATCCACTGTACGACGGACGGTTCGAGATTGCTAAGGGCGTACAAGGCGTACTAACGTCAAGTCGTGAGCTCATCAACCGGCACAAAAGGTAGAATGGGTTTGGTCAAAACTATTAGAACATTTATTATTAGATCTAATCATCGATCGATGGTATTTCATCTCACATATACATTAAGTTCCACACGGAGACACTAGTTATCCTTCTTCGCCTCACTGGCGAGCTTCTCCATCTGTTCCTTTCTCTTCTTCAAAACTTGCTGGATTTCATCCATCGTCTCCTTGAGGACATTCTCAGCCTCCTTGCCCTTCTTCTCCTGCAGCGTGCGAAGCGACTGCAACTGGCCCAGAACATTCGATCCTCCAGGAACCATATCCGCCCACTTGCTCAAATCAAAAGACCCACTTTGCTGTGCCTGATCGACCTTCTCCTTGACATACTTCTCCACCTGCTCCGTCTTGCCTGACGACGCAGCCTCCTTCACCATACCCCACAACTCACTAACATTGCCCTTCTTCAACGCATCCGCATTATTCTCCACCAACTCCTTGACCTTCGGATTCTTATCCAAGTACTGCTTACTCTCCTCCAATCCCTTCTGCCACATCTCATCCCCAAGATTCTGCAACTTCTCCGACTTCTCCTGAATAAGCTTCCTTACCTCCTCCACCGACGCAAGACTGAATCCCTTCTTGGCCACTCCGGCAAGTTGCTCCCTCGTCTTATCCACCTCCTCCTTTGCCTGCGGCCCATACGCCTCTCCCATCTCCTTCAACTGCTTCCACCCACCACCAACCTTCTCCTGCAACCATGGATGGTTATCAAGAATATCTCCGGCAGCATCACCAGACAACTCCATCAACCGTGTCAGACTCTTCTGCAGCACCTGCAATGCCTGGATGGCAGTATCGGCATTCGAACCACCCTTGCTTCCCAGCGACTTCAGCTCCTTATACGCATCCCGAACAATGCTATCCACCTCAGGCCCATGCCGTTGCTTCACCTTCTCCAGATCATCGAACGCAGTATCAATGTGCTGGCTCACGCCAGGGAGAAACACCGCATAGCTCTTCAGCGTATCGCGCAGCCAGTTCAGCGCCTTGTCCGGCTCTGGAGCGTTGTTGATGATACCTTGCTTTACTTGATCCGCATAGACCTGGGTCTGTTTCATAGTCTTGACGGCTTTGCGGGCTCCCGAGAAGTGGTACCATGTGTAACCGGTGACAATGGCGACGAGACCGCCGCTGAGACCGCCGACCAGGGCGGGGTTGCTGCTGCCGGTGCCAGTGGAGCCGGAGGAAGAGGACGAGGACGAGGACGAGGATTGGAATCGAGCGTTACGGTAGCGACCGGCTGATTGGCGGAGGCGTTGCTGTCGCAGACAGCGGGTAGCGACTCTGGGGGATCTGTTCATCATGATTGTGGTATTGTGGGTGCTGTTAGAGGGTAACTGAGAGGTTCAATGGCAATGAGTAGTTGTATGTGATGAGTAAATTGGGGGAACATTATTGAGCATATAATTGAAGGGAGTTATATACTCAGAAATGAAGTAAATGGAGTGGTTGAATCACCCCCCGTCAACATGACGCACGCCAAGCATTACATACACTAGTCCATTATTAGCAACACACTAACCATATACAGCTAGCGAGATCTATCTTATCTCGCATCCGAGCCCCATCCTACTTGGTTAATTACGTTCATCACATTACTACATCATAGCCTATCCCAAAAGACCTGAATAACGTCATCACAACAGCTTGCATTGGAAATTAATAATTGGCAGCGTGTAACTTGGCACACGTCTTACAGCGCCCGATCTCCTTTCTCCGCCCTGAATATGGCTGCTCCGCATACGGAAACGTCTTCAGCGATTCCGTCCTTAACCGGATCTCCCCTTTGATATTCAGTACATGCAATATCCCCGAATATGTTGTGGACTTCGTTATTTCGAAGATTCAATCAGACAGCTCATCGCCAATGTAGTAGCGACAGTTAGAAGATCTTAGGATTCCGAACCCTCCTCTGTCGGGGCCTTGCGCTAATACCAACGAGATGTCTGTGAGCCCGTAGGTGGATGCGAGTTCATCAGGCCCTTGTAGGTTACAAGTCTTATCTATCTATTCAGCTGGGATTGCTCGGTTTCCTTTAAGGGATCCTGAGATCCTGAGGCGGGGTGTTACTTGGTGGGGTGGACTGGGGATTATTTGGGGTTTGGTTGGCATGGTAAGAAGGAAGAAGTGAATCTACTGAAGCAAGTATATCCCTGCGGCGCTCGGGTATTTCGTGATGTGTCACTGAAGAGTCCTACTGACCCCATGAGACATGCGAGGAGATAATTGCACTCCAGGGACAGCATTATTGACTAATAGGTCCATTGATACTTTACTCTAATTAAAGTTTTTCAGGCGGTAATGATGGGTGATTTTGATTGATTATTGTCTAGTACTGGTAGGAACACCAAGCCCCCCCCACCCTCCTAAAATAACGGATATGTTTCAGTCACTTTATCATCTTGAGGCAGTCCGTACTCCGGCGCATTAGCCAACTCGGAGGCACTGGTCTTGAGAGCTATGGGTACGACTAACGAACCTCATTCTGGTCTGCCAAACTTGGAAGGGGCGTCATGGCGTGTATGGAACAAATACTTCTTCCCCTTCTGGACCGTCCAGCACCGTAAGGTACATTGTCCTCCGGTATCTCGAGAGCCTTCAGCTTCTTCATCCCCACCTTTTCCATCCCGTTCTCCACCATTACGTGTAGAATACCTGGCCATGTCGTGGGCCTACTTATTCCGAAGATGTCTCACTGCCTGGCCTGTATAAATCGGCTTAATGCCTTAGGCATCAGTTGTAGCCCGCGTAGTCACGTGCCGTCAGCGGACCACGGAACCTTTTGACATTGCTTACTATCTAGCTTATGAGCTGTTCCATAACTATAGTCAATCGACAGCGCAACTCAATCGCTGCAGTTTGGATGCATAAGATAGGGCGCTAGGCGGACAGTTGTGCTTCTCCCATAGGAGGCTGTAAGTTCTGAGCCCACCTATCTGTCATGTCGACAATTTCCAAGCGTAAGCGTGCGAGGAAGGCCTGCATTCCATGCCACCAGCGGAAGCGGAGATGCGACAACCAATATCCCTGCGGCATGTGCACCACATACGACTATAGCTGCAGATATGATGACGACGCGACGGGTACTGTGGGTGAGAGCGTGGATGACCCGCCCCAAGCTAAGCGTATCAGCGTTGATGGAAGAAGTCGTTTGGCCAACAGGCCTCACGTAGAGCAAGGGCACCGCGAAGCCAAGGCCAATAGCTCGTCGACGAAGAGTCCCGCCACCGTAACCAGCACACCACCTGGAATCTTCGACGAACAGAAGTTCAGATATACAGGAGCATCGGCGGCTATGGCTTTCCCACATGTTCTGGGTGTTAATCTCGGTGGTGACAGTCCTCCGAGATTGCGGTCATGCGCCTACAACTTTGGTAACCGACCAGACGAGGCTTCAAGCCCTCATAGCTTTCTCGGGGATCTGATCTCCGAACAGGACCTCAGCCACTATGCGGGGGTGTATTTCACTGTCATGAACCCGATCGGCGACATCCTGGACCCCAGAATATTCGCCGATCGGTGTCATCAGTACTACGATGGCGGTTATAGTACAGATATTACATTCGCTGCTGTGGCTGCTGGCGTGGCCTGCCTCGGGTCCTTTCTCTCCTCCAACAGACATCCACGGGAGACTGACCTGGTGCTGTACGCCAAAGCAATTCTCGATGATCCAGCGTCCATGCGCACGTTAAACATTGATCACATCATAGCATGGGACATGCGTGCCTTCTATCTTCGCGCGACAAGTCGCCCCAAAATTGCCTGGATTGCCTCCTGCACTGTCATGCACCTGTGCGAAACAGTGGGGTTGCACGACGAAGCGAGCATCAAGAAAATAGCATCCAAGGCTGGCGCTGCTCTCCTTGGGCTTGATGCTGACCGGCTCAGAAGAATATTTTGGGCCTCGTGGGCTGCACACAATATGCTGTCATACGAGCAAGATTGTTCTGCTGTAAACTTTCGCTCTGTGACGTGTCAGTCTTTCATCCCAACACCGGGGTCTGTTGCCGACCAGTTCGTCCGATTAGTCCAATGTACCCCAGCACCAAACTCCCCTTTTCGTCTCGACTCGGAACCAGCGGACCTGAATGAGGAATTATTCGAACGTCTGAAAGCAGTGACTGAACTCAAAGTAACCCATCCATTCCTAGTGTTGACTGCGGCAGACATCGCCTTTTGCTTTTATCGCCGCTTGTACCAGGCCCAGGCGTTGCCATCGCACGAATTCATCAGTCTCATCATTGATTGTGGCAATGCAGGAGTGAAGGCGGCCGAGCAGCTCGCTAACGAAGGTCATCTATTCTGGAATGTCCTCGGCAGCGTCTTCCAATATGCTTGCGTTCTGTTGGCGATTGACAGCCCGATCGCCTCCGCTCACCTCGGCACTGTCTTCAAGCGGTTAGAGAACTTAGTCAAGGCGGCCGATACAACACTGACGCGCGAGGCATTGTCAATAGCACGACACCTACTCAGCCTCAAAACGGCTAAAAAGCGCAAGGAGCTGGCTGAGCTGGAAGCGATTGAGGCAGGCTTCCAGTCTGGTCTGACACCGCCAGAAGCAGAGGCCAACGCCTCTATGCCTGACATAAGCTGGGAGCTGTACTGGGATCAATTCTTTCTCGAGCCGTATTTGCCGACGTTCGGTGGTGGGATACAGCTATAGTGGAGAGTTAACTTGCGGACTGTAAATATGTATTCCGGAGAGTATTCATGCTGTAAGAGATACCATACTGCTTACTGGGAACTTCGATGTTCAGAATTGTAGAAGATGCAGCCACGTGAGCGGCGTTGGTGCGGCTATTGCGGCGATACTCATGCTAGTGCGGAGTTAATTGACTATCTCCGCATCGCCGCTTTAGTTGGTGTGCGGCGGCGGCGGCGGAGATGAGCGGGAATCTCACCTCATCATCAACTTACGCTCCTTCAGTGGGCGAAGGCCGCCCAATTACAGTCGGCAATGTTGCTAATTCCCTAAAGTCCGATCGTGTCGGGGCTAGGGCCTCCGAGATTCGAAATCTTATGCAGTCTGATTCAGGTCCGAATTCATAGAAGTAGCAGGATCGACACTCAGGCTCCAATACATAAATAGACGCTCGTCCTCACTTCGGTTCAAGCATTCACAAGCTCATGCACTACACTCAAGCACAACTCTATCATCACTACACCTCTCAAAGAAACTCAACCTCAAGCCAAAAAGCAAATAAAATGGCCAAGTACGCAAAAGACCAACCCGCCGGCTTCAAGAACGCCATCGAGCGCGTCGCCATCGTCGGAGTAAGTCACTCTGCCAATCACAAGCCCCTGCACAGCACTACTAACACACACGTCTAGGCCGGAGGCACCGTGGGATTTCACATCGCCACTGAGCTCCTCCAAACCGGCAAACACACAGTTACAGCCTTGACCCGGGCCGATAGCACCAACAAACTCCCTGAGGGGGTCCAAATCGCCCACATCAACTACAACGATGAAGCAAGCATTGTCTCCGCCTTAAAGGGTCAGCAATTCCTCATTATCACTATGTCCCCCACCGCGCCCCCGGACACCCACAGCAAGATCGTCCAGGCAGCCGCCAAGGCCGGTATTCCCCACGTCATGCCGAATGGGTACGGCGGGGACATCGACAAGGTCAAGCTGGGCGAGGAGACCTTCCTAGGCCCTGTCTACAAAGCCAACCGAGACCAGGTCGTCCAGCTCGGTATGCAGTGGATTTCTGTGTGCTGTGGATTCTGGTACGACTATAGCTTGGCGGGTGGAGAAGTGCGCTTCGGGTTCGACTTTGACAAGCGGGCTGTGACTTTCTACGATGATGGCACTACTAAGAACACGACGTCGACGTTGGCGCAAATTGGGCGGGCCGTGGCGAAGGTGCTCAGTCTTAAGGAGCTTCCTGAGGATGAGAGTGATCCGAATCTTACGTTTTCGTCGTTCCTGAATAAGCAGTTCTACATCAAGAGCTTCGTTGTCAACCAGAAGGATATGTTTGAGAGTGTCAAACGTGTTACTGGAACTACGGATGCTGACTGGACGGTTACTCACGAGAGTACTAAGAAGCGGTATGAGGAGGGATTGGCTCTGGTTAAGGTTGGTAACATGGCTGGATTTGCCAAGTTGCTGTACGCAAGAGGATTTTACCCGGAGGATCCGAATGATCACTTGGACAAAGTGCAGAATGAGTTGCTTGGATTGCCGGAAGAGAGCTTGGATGATGCTACCAAGGATGCTATCTATTTGGTCAAGAAGCTGCAGGCTCGTGCTGAGCGTATGGCGTCTTAAAAGAAGAGTCTACGGATTCGATGTTTGCGATGTGGAAGTGAGCGGTTCTCGATGTTTAATATTACCGTAATAATTTGATTGTCGACTTGCTTTCTTAGATTACATCCCTTCACAATGTCCACAATATCCCTGCTCTCATCCACAGCACAGCTAGCAGTTTTGGCTCCATTAATCTTCCCCTAACCCCAATTCCTTCCCCTGGGTTAATGCGACCTCGCTCGGGTTTGGTCGAGTTATCAAAATTCTTAGTACCAGATCACCCTAGTCAAAGGTTAGAAGAGCACATAATACCACATGTCGCGGAGAACAGGGTTCCCCGTTTGCTGGCCATACCTAAGCCACCAATCAATTGCGGTCGACAAAAGCGTGTCCGTCCAGTCCTGACACCAAGTCACCAAGATACTGTGAGCGTGAGAATCAAGAACTACCATCGTCTTCAGTAGCTCTCTTGCTGAATAGCACTCGCGTCGACGCAAAGGGCATGCGGAAATCCTCCCAAGTCCACCATCTGGGTGCCTCATGGTCCGCCAATCGCAAGGTATAGTTGGTCACGATATGCACAACAACGATCTTGATCATAAAAGCGGCATGGTGTCTTCCTGGGCTAAGTGGGGTCGGTTAGTATAGGCCGTAAGTAAAAAATGTCAATAGGTACTGAGCAAACCAAGCGAGAGATCCATAGCCCCAGATCAAATGATTCTCAGAGACGTCGGCAAATTTGTGCGATGTATCCTTGCATCGCCCGTTAAGGAATCGCTTGCCGTCAAATTTCTCGGGGTCCGGGTAGATGTGCTCATTGCGTGTGGCATCGTATGAGGATACGCAAAGGATTGATCCGGCCGGGATAGAGAGGGGCGCAGACGAGAAAGAATAGTCGGTCAGGGCTTTGCGGCGGATCGCGACTGCACTCAAAGTCCCGATGGGGATGAATTAGAGACACAAGTGTCTAGGACTCAACTGGCAGGGCTGCTCCTGAGAAATCTACTTACTTTTATCCAAGGAATTCACTCGTGCAGTCTCCCGCATGAAACTATCCAAAAGTGGTAGCTCGTTGATCTTGCTTGCGAGGTCGTCTTGGCTCTGTAGGGCCTCGTTTCGGAGCGCATCCTGCCACTCGGGCCGTAGGCACAACTCAACTAGAATTGCGTGTAGATTTACCCATGGCTGGTGCGAGGCTGCTAGCCAGAGGCCCAGGAGTGATTGGGAAAGTCTCTCTGGTGTCCAGTAGCTGCGGTCTGCCGTCGATAAGTCAACCATGTGATAAAGGAGTGTCAACTGTGGACCATGTTCATTAGCCTGGGTAGATCCCATGCTGCAGCAGAATCCTAGAATCTTAGCCCAAACCTTCTTGATCTCTGGTTTTTCATCCAAATTGTCAATTCCAGCAGTTATCACGTCAATCAGCCTGTCTTGGATCAGGTGCATTGCCGATCCACGCCAGGTGATCATTGCGTGGACGAGGCTAGATAAGTGGAATAGGTTAGTAGAGTACCCGCATAGCGACTGCTGACTCTAAACATACGGTGCAATAAATCTTGGAGTTAGCTGGAATGCAGCAGAACATGCTTTGATCTGGCGTGGGTGATTCAACAAGGCGTCTCGAAGACGCGGGTCAGACGCTGAAGCCAAGTTATTCGCGTTCAGACTAGTGTTTCGTCAAGAGGTGGTGAGTAGAGATCGAACTTACTCATATTTCCCCCGAAAAACCACGCGCCCATGAGACGTGAGAGGATCGTTTCGCTGAATAGAGCTAGACGGACAGACGCAGTGCCTCCTGCTAAGTCAGCTCAATGACTGATACAGGATACCTTGGCAGGTACGCTAGGATCTAGTTCAGAGCGAACGTACCAGAAGAAGGCCCCACATCCAGAATGGTCTTCAGGTGGTGAAGAAGATACGGGTATAGCTCCTCGAACTGGGTCGGACCTCGCACCTGTAGAACCCGGCTAAGAAGACGCGACTTTCTCGTGTTGACCTCGTAGTGGTCTGCGCCGTTCAACGTATGTTTAAACCCGAACAGCTGGAGAAGTTAGAGCGTCACGCCCTTTCTTTCTTCTTTCACTTGCCGGACTTACGTCTGAATAGACCGCTCGCTGAGATAAGACAGATGTTTCGCTGAGCTCGGTCATTATTTTCTTCGTTGCTGGGATCATGATCGGCTTCGGCGCCCAAGGACGGTAGTACCGATGGTCACGCTGCGGAGGTTAGAACGGATGATCTCCATCTTGCTTTCCTTGTAGTAGCACTACTTACGAAGTCGCGTACTACATTCCGGATGTTGGTAATATAAACACTCTGTTTGGTGACATGTTAGTTCGCCGTACCAAGGTTAAGAAGCAGACCTGACCGTACCTCGAACACCGAGTAGTACAGCACGTTTGCTATCAGGAGTACGCAGGCAACTGCTAACAGCCAGGAGAAAGGGACGTCAGTCATGGTGATGAGTGCGCCGGTGTTCCCAACGGAAACTGTAGACATCATGCAGTTAAGGAGAGACGGGAGGAAGCAGTATGTGCGCACGAAGTTGAACTTGTTCAGAAATCAGGCAAGCCCATTCACCTTTATTCAAATGCAAACACAGCTTTCGAACTGACACTTGTTTGCATGCAATCATGATATGCTACTGTTATTTGAACATCGGACCTTACCTGATCAAGTGAACCACACTAAGCAATCAAGCTTAGAAGCAATGTTCTACATTTGAATAAAAATGACCGCACCCATCTCAGTTGTACGGAAAGAGTGAGTGATTTAATTATGGTTGAGACTAAAGTAGTGAGCTTTGTAGTGTAACTCTAGTATAGTACACACTTCAGAAGCCTAAGAAAGAAGTAAAATGCAGAGACAGAGAGCGAGAGAGAGGGAGAGACAGAGAAGAGCCTAGAAAAGATTAAGTTGGACAAGATAGACAGATTCTATGAGAAGAGCCACTTTTGAGAGACCTGGTGGGTTGCTTCGGATGATGGTATGCTTCCTCGTGGAAAGCAGACCTTCTGTCTGGTATGTGGTTAAGGGATTTCGAGCTGGGCATTGTGAGAGAGTCATCATTCAGATGTGCTGGGGTAAATGACTGGAAGAATCACTGTCAGTTAGCTACCATGAGACGTGGTTCTAACGTGCCTACCAGGAAGCTGCTACATTAGCGTAGGGTTTATGTGGATTCTGTTCCGGCGGCACATCGCCGGATCGGGCGAGGAATTTGTCTCCACATCGAGGGTTGTATGCACAGTAATCCCCGTCAAGCTTAACATGATTTCTATGCTCTCAATGGTTTCCATATACTTCTTTTCAGACAATTCTCAGTCCTTACTGATTTCTAAGAACGGTTGTTCCTCTGGTGGAAGATATCACTAATGATCAGGAGCGCTTGACAATGATCTGTAACATGAAAGGTTGTATGGGATTACATTTTAATCGGGACGATTCAGGGGGGCACAGTGAAGTGCTGATGTTGGTCTGCTATGTGTATTCTTGGACAACAATCACCATACGTCACTCCTGGTCACATTCATTCCAGTGGATATTCAACATAACAGACCGCACATTACTATCCCAAAGCAACACGTGGCTGCAAATATCGATATGAAATTTAACCCATTAGTACATACGCTGAAGAGAGTAGGACAGTCCGAAAGAAAGCATACATGTGACAAAGTTGAACGCTCGAAAACTTTGATGAACCCTCCCTTGCCGTGGTAGGTACTAATCCAATCTATTCCTGGCCCTAGCCAGCTATCCACGAAACCGCAAAGAATACCCTCATTCACTTTCCTACATACTCAAACTTCTTTTTCTGGTGGTTGTAGACATAAGCATATTCGGCCACGTCAAACCCCCAAGCGCCAACTACCTTGGTGCTTGCACTGCAGACCTTGCTGTCTCTAGCATTGAAAGCTTTGCAGTAAGGCCTAAATATACGTAAGTTAAACGCAGATATCCAGGCGGAAGAAAAGCAAAACATGAGCCAAATAAAGTTGACAGGTCGATCGCGCTGGTCTATCACTTACCCAATTTTTGCAGTTGTCCCAGCTCTCGTTTTGAACCCAGTGATCTCGAACCAGGACCTTTCCGAGCTATTTGTGGTCTCGTTATATGCCCATATCCTATTCGAGTGGTAGAAGGTACGTAGTGATGTTTTCTGCTCCTCCTGTGAGTTCTCCGTGACTCCGACAAGAATTGCACTGAAGAAGATAAGGCAGACGTCATCCAGTTAGCGCATGAGTCGGACTAGAATATAGAGGCCCTAGTAGCACATAACATACTTCTTCCCCCCATCAGCGGTTGACGCGAAAGGAAATTCTTCGGCTGACGACCACTTTCTGTGAGCTGCCCAGGCGCTTGTTGCCGGGCTCGCTTTTATCCCATACTTGACTCGGTTCGCAAAGGGTTGGTTTTTGGCGCCACTGCCGGTTTTTATCTGTCGGTGCTTCCTCGCTGTGTTTTGATTCACCTTTTGCCTATATAGTAGTAAGCATAGCTCGACATGCCCACGTCAAAATCGTGAAGGGTGACATATCCCAGCCATGCTCACATTACTGTAGGCTTGCCCTTGCATAGCATATCCCAGCAGTCCACATCATAGGTTAGGGAATCCTCTCCGCGGATCTCGATCTCTGCTCGGATGGGGTTGCTTTTGGTGTCTCCTATCTTGGAGCGCGGTTCCAGGACCGAAGAATTGGTTGTAGGGAGAGCAAAGGCATGATAGAAACCTGAAGCACAAAGCAGAGCTGCGATAACGATGGAAAAGATTCTCATCTTGGGAAGAAATTGGATTCATATGTATATGACTTTGGGTGTAATCTAATTGCTGGTGGATTTTCATTTGCTTTCCGTTTGGAGCTTTATGTATATATATATTTTCCTTGTGAGAAGTATGACGGATCGTGATAATTGTTTGCTACCGGCATAGCAGATGTGAAACAATCTATCCCCTTCAACACTTTAGCTAATGTTATTGAGGCCGTACTATCAGCAGAGGAATAGACTTGACATCAGCAACTTCCTGGCACGGATTTTGATTCAGACCAGCCCCCAACGGGGCGATTGATGTTGAAAAGTTCAGATACTGGTTTCACTGGCCCCAAGGCTTGTCATATTATAGCGCGACTCCTGTGTAGATGATTGTTGCCAATATTGGGGGCGGTCGAATTGACAAGAATGACATTATATTGTATTACCTCGAGATTATTTGGGATATCCGTTAACACTACAATCCCTGACGGCCGACTGTACCCCGGCTAATACCTTGCATTCTTGCCGGTTGGGTAGCAAGTTCCAATTCACTTGTCAGCCTTGCCATCCCTGTCAACTTCCCCCTTTTTCCTCTCCCATCAATTCAACATCATATCCCCATCAGACAGCACCGGTCCCTACGCAACGCAACCATGTCAACGTTCTTCCTCTTCTGCACTGCAGACATACCAGCCAGTGTTCGAAATTCCATTTCTGGCAGCCCTTGGTGGAAATAACCCATGCTAACTTCACTCTTACAAATAAATAGATTCTTAACGATTTCATGGACCAATTTCGCAAAGTCTATGACGACAATATGCCCAATCTCATGTGCGTCGTTCGCTCGCCAGATCAGAGCTATTATCCAGACTGGGGCACTGAGCTCCCAATTAGCGACTTCTCCACTGGGTTCAAAGATGCTACAAACAGTGAGCTACGTGCTTTCACTCAAGCCAAAATTGCTGAGCTTGGGGCAAGGGGGGAGGCTGGCTCCCTTGAGCCGGACTGGATCGCGGTCATGGATGAAAGGTCGCTTCGAGATAGAACAGTCGTTATGCAATTCAATATGCAGATGTCCATGTGGGCCCAGGATCTGGAAGATGCAGATGAACCTTTCGAGATCCCCGGTAATGCTGATATAGAGGGCGATGATATCTGGTGGAAGTGGCGGGTGCCCTTCTCGGGTGCTCAGCAGATTTTCAACAGTATTGATTGTGGTGACCCTCCAATGATTCAGTTGTATTCTCGCCCAGAATTCCTGGGCTCGGACGGGGTTGTCAAGGTGGACGTTATTCGGAAAACTATACGTGGAGACAGGTGACCCAACTCATCGTGTTATACATAGAGGTCTGGAGTTGCAGGATTGTGAACAGATGTGTGCATTGCTTTCAGTATCTATCCCAGGGAGTTTCATTCGTAACATGGCTTGGTTTGAGCATACACAAGTTGAGACGACACTACACCTTTGTGGAAAAGAGAGCTTTATATGTCTCTTGTTGAGAATTTATGTGAAGCCCAGACTTACGCACTCCTCCAGCTTCTTTCCGACACTAATCATAGGGAGGAACATAGATAAGGATTACCGGAGCTTTCTTGGCTTAAGCTAGAATACTGAACTAGAGGCCTCGATTCTTGTTTGTTTATAAAATTGACCTTACCCACTGCTACGGCGTAAGTAAACACCAATTTGGCAGGTGACTCTTCTACCATGGTCACTGCATGTAATTGTATCTGGGTTATCTCGCTGCCAAGTGCCCATATGACTGCATATAAGCTTAAGATATAGACAATGGCCTACATGGTGTTGATTCTCATTCTACAAGAGGGCCAAGTCCGCCTCCAGCGGCACCTACTAATTCATTGTGCTAAAGGTCTACGCAGATACGTGAGAGAGAGTACGGTCACCATACCACGCCTCAAAAATGATATCGTTCTGATGCATACGTGGCCTTCAAAGCTCGGATTTGGCTCTTGTTCAAAGGCTGAACTGCAGCGGGTTTAGACGATGAGCACCACGTACGTAAGGTGGCGTTTCCTAAATAAGGCTGGCTCACCCACGAAAAGTAATTTTTTTCAATGTGAATATTGCCATGATCAACTCACTCCTTAACTGACCCGTATACTCAAACCTGTTTAGAAGCCGGAACTACGAATGGCGCCACACTGCCCAGCTTCTCACAAGTTTCAGCATATTCGCGTTCCGGTTTGGAGTTGATGGTCACACCAGCCCCAGCCTGTAACCACTGGCGACTATCATCCTGGAACACCGTGCGAAGCACCAGAGTAGCATCAAACAATTTCGACCCTTCATCCAGCATAAGCACTGCACCACAATAAAGATCTCTAGGATCTGGCTCGAAGGACTTCATTGCATCTGAGTTGCCGTCTCCTGGTAGCCCAGGCACAGTAATATTGGCTATGAGACCCGGCAGAGCATCCCAACCATCGCATCCAGGCTTCAGGTTTCCGCACACATGGGAATGGAGGTGCTGTACGCTTCCTCTTGGCATGACCTTCATGAAATCTTTGATCGCAATCGAGTCCGGTTCGCACAGTTTGCTCAACCGACGGATGGAGCCCTTAATAGCGATGACATGCTCGGCGACCTCTTTGATATCATCGTGGAGTTTGTTGTTGAAAGGATCAAGGCTGGCTTTGGAAGAATTAGACAGTTGGGTTCCAGCAAGCGCTTCTGTATAGGCCTTGTCGCCGTTGATGGAGAGAAGGACTTCAGGGCTAAAGCCAGTAGCTTGAATGCCGTCGTGGTTGAAGGAGAATGTGCGCGCGGGATTGTTGGCCCGTCGACCGTGAAGGAGGGTTGCTAGCATATCAACCCGAAAGTCTAAGGGGACTTTCCTGGATGGAATTGCCTTGGTATATTTAGCTTCGGAGATATCCGCGATCGCATTAGCTACGCGCGTCTGATATGTTTGTGCGTCCACGTTCAGGTTTATTTTGCCTTCGACAGGAGACGACAGGGCGATATCTTCGGCCAGCTCGGCTTCCAGTATACTTTTGATCTTCTCGCTTACTCGGCGTATATCCTCATCATCATCTCCCGTAATAGTGACCTTACTCCGCTCAATAATAACCCCCACGCTAGGAACGATGAGGCTTAACATTGGCCATTGACCCGATTCGAAAGCTTGGCCTGAACATCGGGCTGAATAGTTGAATCCCACTTGACCAAATATTTTCCCATGACTGGAATACTCGGAGACAAACTCTCTGATCAGGTCCGTGGGTGAGCCGGTGATAGCCGTAGATTCCGAATGGCCGTCACTGCCTGTCGTGGTAGCTGTTTGGCCTTGTGCATCAAACGTCAGAGATGCATGAGTGCCAAGCCCAATGTACCATATTTCATTGTTTTCGAATATATAATAGCTTCCTTTCGAGTAGTGAGCCACTAGTGCGACCGTGGTCTCCAGCGGCCGTGTGGCTCTAGCAAGGGTGATCTGTTTCTGGGTGCGCGTCATGCTTGTTGAAGGTCTGTACGGGAAGGATCTGCAAGTGCTTGATAATAAGATAGGTCAAGGTTGAGGGATAGGTATACTACTCTGGGAGACAGAAAATAAGCTTTTCAGAGTTTAGGGTGAGAACAACGCAGACTGCCTCTGGGTCTAGAATACCAGCGTATATTTATATACCTTGGCGTAAGTTAACTCCATAAGCTTACAATAGAAGCACCATGATCTTTGTTCAGCCTAATCGTTACGCAATTGACTTTGTTCTAGATGTAAGCGGTAACTGGGTGGTGATGCGGATACCCATCCAACGATGCAACCCTACCGAAAGCGGATGGTTTGTGGTTGGCGACTCCGCGGAATTTATACTCAACCGACTATAGTGAGCTCTTAGGGTGTACCCCTCACTCTGCCTCATTCTCGCACAACGAGTGAAGGTCTTCTCTCTATTTGTCTGAAAACCTTATGATGACCTCTTAAGACGATCCACCGAATGCATGCTTCATCCGGTGATTGCAGTCTTGATCTTTTCCTTTAGATCGGGAATCGGTTCGTCTTCGTCGACTTTGAGACCTTTTATCACTCGGGCCAACGCGGCGTACACACCAATGATCAATAGAACCTCTACCACATCCGCAACTGACAGCGACTTCAAAGCATCCTCAATTGTTTCCGGCTTATTGTCATAGGTGCTCAACTGTTCTTCGGTCATGCGGAGAATTACCCTATCTCGATCACTCCATGGCCCCTGACCTTTCATCACATCCTCAATACAGCATCCGATGGCGTCAAACTTCTCTTGAGGAAACCCGAAGACCTCGGCCACGGGCTTATTGACGTCGATCTCATACTTCGCCTGGAGAATAGTACCGACGCGTAACACTATCAATTGCCACTCATGCACTGGAATACTGCGCTGGTTTCCGTCAAAACAAGCACCAAGTAGACCGCTGATATGAGGAAATAAACCGTGTGAGTGAGCTAACGTTAGGAGAATATTGCGTCGAAAGGGCAGCACTTTGAGTCTTTCTTGAATATTTGGAGGTGCCGTGTCAGGGTCCACGTAGGGGACGAGGCATGTGTGTCGATAAGATTCGCCTTCCAGCTCACTTGGATTGGTTCCAGACATCTTGCAATGCGTTCAAACAATTTGTCGATGCCTTTTAACTATTGGCTAAGTAATTCCTAGTTAGATCCAGACGCCTCTCGGCATTCAATCCCGGAAGGATGGTGATAAATGATAATAGTAGCTCGTACCTGGATACCGCCGTCCGTGATTTTTTTCAATTTCTTCAATTGGGACCGACTGTTAAATCTCAACGTTCTCTACACTGTAGTTTCTCATTATAAACCAGTACTCCTCAAACAGTATCTCTTATACCCGCGTACCTCCACAATGTAGCCCTCCAGGAAACATACCACAAGTCACATGATATGACGGAGGTGGCATATAACTTTACCTTAGCCAAGTTTTCCGAAGAAGGAACAGCACTGTATTCTATCCTTTCCCCCCTAATACATTGGATAAACGTGTCCGTGCATAATCGAACCATGGCACCATGTGTCTGTCTCGGTGAACTACCGGTTTTGCTGAACGGTTTTCAAGGCTGCGGCTCTAATGGCAAAGGATGTCGGTCTTCGCAGCTCTGGACGTTTCTACGAACGAACTTGCGGTACAGAATGCTTGATTTAGTCTTTCCTATTTGGGCCATTCCCCTGTTGTAGGATGGTACACGTCGGCCGACACAATGATTGGGCAAACGAGTAGGCTTTTCCGATTAAGAACTCGTGACATGTATTAAGCTTGGAACATGCCAGTAGCTTCGTACCTTAGCTTACTATGACCGCTCTCTATGACTTACCCTGTTACGTGAATTTCTTGGAAGAGTGTCCGTCGGGTGAATATACAATTAGACCACGGTATTTCGCAGATCCCTCACAAACAGTGAGGGGATCGAGGCTACCTTACCTCACAATGATCATATTCAACTAAGCATCACCCTTGTAGTAGGAAGGCTATTCGTAAGATGAATATTTATACTATCGAGCCCGCACGAAAATGATCTATGTATAAGTCACCCAAGGCTCAAGCAGATCTTCAGAATTTTAGAATTCCAGCCTACATCCTTGCCGTTACATCATGCGCATCCCGAATGGTTCACAGGTTCAGCATCTTAATGAAGTCAAAATCAAATGGCCGAAGCTCAATACAACAATCACGGTGAAAATTAATGATGCAAACCCAACACTAGTTGGTTTACTTGAAACTGCCCTACCCTATCGCTCCCTCCAAACACATGCCGTTGTTGCCGGCGACCAGCTATATCACTTGATTCCGTCAGAACAGCTGATTGTGAGTGGCTTATGTCACAAAGAGAGTCATCTTACTAACTGCGCAAAGTATACACCTGCCGACAAGAAGGCTCCTGATAGGGCGAAAGAACCCGACGGCTCGGTATTTCTCTCGTCATTCCAGCATTTTGTGATCAAGTATGGTGAGGTCACCGAGCACCAGCCGGTGGCTACTTGTGGGAAGGTTATTGATGAAGATATGGATAAATTGCGCTGGGTTGCGGATGAAGTTTGGAAATGTCAATGTGAGACAAGAAAGCACCCTATTGAGGTAGTTCTATGGGATGCTACAAAGCCGGAGCCTGATCCCAATAAGCTGGACCTTTTCAGACATCAGAGGGCTGGTGTGAGTAAGGAGGTAAGGAAGCTCGTCGATGAGATTCATACCGAAGTATATACCTAATGGTTTTGATTGGTGATAACTAGCTAAAGAAGTGACACAGACGCAAAAGTGTTGGTCGGATATATCCGAGGACATTGAAAAGATTCACTGTGGTAAGGCACC